AAAAATATTAAATTCATTTCTAATACTAATTTTTATCTCAAATTATATCTATTTTATGTTCACTAATCTCACAAAAACATTTAAGCATTGGGTTTATAATTATGATATCAAATATGAATCTTACGTGCAAATAAGTAGTGACATTGATGAGAATAATGATAGAGTCAAAATTTTCATACTTGAAAGGATGAAAATAATATTTAAGAAATTATTATAGTAAAAATTTAATGTTTATAACAATAAAATTCTAAACTTTTAAAAAATAAAAAAAATATAAAATTTTAAAATTTTTATATACATGCTCTAACTAGTCCTCCTCCTTGCAGAAGATAACAAAATTGTTTATTTAGACTTTTGTTCCAACGAGATGTCAAGAAGTACTGTTCATTTGATGAACCTAATTCTTTTTTCATAATTTTGATTAAAAATTTAATATAATAACTAAATAGACATATAATAACAATTTTAATCATAGTGAAGTTTAAAATCTGCATCATTCTTTAAATAAAATAATACTAATTTCTATTAATATTTTTTATCAAAATAAATTGAGAAGTGATCAACCCAATTTCATGACATTCCCAATTACATCCCTATGGCTATGGACCCCACTGAAATTTTCCGGCTTTCCAATCTTATCTAATGCTAGAAAGAAAAAATCGATGTTGCAAAACGACGTGGCCTCAATTAGATGGGAATGGCGGCTTTGAAAAGCCGAAGGGTAGCAAGAGGAAGGCGAGACGAAGGACGAGTCAGTATACTGCCAAGTGTGTGGCGATAAGGGGCCGGCGTATGTTTCGGCCGTGGACGGCTTGTGGTAGCACGAGTTTTTGTGTTGCCTCTGAGCAACTTATTTTAATTCCGAATTCCAACACTCTCTGGTTCAGCTTTTCTTAGTAAGGCCTGAAAAAAAGGGAAACAGCAATGCTTCGACGTGAATGACACGCTCTTTCCTTGCTTTGGCTTTGTTTTCTGTTTTATCGTTTTCCCCAAAATTGTAAATTTCGACTTTCATATTTTCTTCCATATACACATTGACACATGTATAAATTATTCTATTGTAATTATTTTTATTATAATTTTATAGAAAAAAACTCCAAATAAATCTCATGGATAAAACTCATTTAATAAATATCTTCGTATATGTAAATAATGATAGATGATAAACAGAAATTATATGAGAGAGGATGTTTGTCTCTTCTTCATTAATTTCGTGATGCCTTATCTTTTGAGATTAATTGCAAGGTTAAGAACGCTGCCTCGAGTCTCAAGCCACCATCAAATGTGGAGTTTAATCAATGATTAAAAGAAAGATTGGATATCACGCCTTTGGAAAAAAGAGTTGCCGAGTTGAGCATTTAGAACCCCAAGGACTCTTAGATTCCCCGGCCTCATTTTCAAATCCGCAATCCGACGTCGCTGAAACGTCAAAAACATTGACTGATTGGCTTCAGCTCAGATTGATCAAAGAGTCTTTGGGAGGTTTTTGGATTTTCCATCAAAGTGTCGACATTATGAAAAGTCTTGAAAGATTCCAACAAAAATGGGACCTTGCAGTGTGCTCCACTAAATTTGCACTCCACCGAGTAAGTGCCTACTGCGCTGCAATAGATTAATATGTTGTATTGGAAATTGACTGAAATCACATGCCCAGTTCTTTATTATAATTCAATCCATCACATGCATGATAAACGTTGCTTTGTCCAGCTTGGTGGTTGGTATTTGCCTCTTTGGCAGCCACCGAAGACAGTCTAATGGGAAGAAAAAATAAATAAGGATATGACGAAATTTTATTTGCTTGGCATTGTATTGTACGTGTATTAACTTTAAATAGTAAAGATGGCATCAAGTTTAGATAAAAGTTTGAGATTAAAATCATAATGCCTATCTTTTACATTAAAAAAAAAAAGAAGAGCATGGCTCGTCCTCAGTTTCTAATTTTCAACAAACAAAAGTGAGTTACATTCGGTCAATTTTTTTTTTTACTTAGAACATTATGTTTTCATTATTGATTTCACCTTCTACCATTATGAAAAATTAAAAAAACATCAACTTTACTAACACTATAAATGTTAAAGAAATAATACTTATAGGCATGTAATTATTATCCCCGCGGAAGCACCTAACTTGGACTCATCATTCGCTTTCTAAGTTTTTCGTGTCAAATATTACTTTGCATGGACCTTCTTTTAATCATATTTATTCAAATATGATTTAAATATTTCATTAAATGAAACTTTAATAAACATGTCATTCAAAATTTTTAACAGATATTTTTCAAATTTTTAATAAATGATCATTTGAAAATAAAATACAGTCAAATTTGGAAAAAAAAAATTGGTTAGGTTCAAATTGCATCGAGAGTGGATTCATACAAATTTATTTTGGTTTATTTAATTTGCTAATTGACTTATTGATTTCTTTTTTAATATTATAATCATATCATATATATTGAGTAAATATAATTTTTAATTGTACATATAATCTTATAAAAAAAAGAAAATCATACCAAAATATTTTTTCTGGAGCAACAGGAAGTACGGGCATCATTTTGTAACTTTGTTAAATTGTTGCCACTGCGTCTGTGTAAAACAGTAATAATAATGTGCGTCTGAGGAGATGAGCGTGGGGCTATGGGCTAACGATGGCAATCACTGATGACCATCCTCGGTGCTTGTCCCTATCGTTTCCCATTGAGGCACACTGTCTGTGTTTTCACTAGCTTTTTTAGTTTCGGTGATAACACGTACCTTTGGTAGAAAGAAGGCACAAGTTCGGATATGTCACTTGTTTTAGGATTTAGAAGAAAAAAAAAATATAATGTTTAAATAAAATTTTAGATTATTTAAAAATATTTAAATAAATTTTTATTTTTATTATATTTTTATATTTTTATTTTAATTAATAATTGATTGATTACTTTTAATAAAAATATCATTTGTTGTTTTATATTTATATAATATTGACATCACATTTAATGTGAAAAATAAAAAATATCATATAATTATATTATCATGTTAAATTAATATGTTATATTATTATCAATTATAATATACTAGTATATCATATTATTATAAAATATAATATTTTAATATATTATATTAATATCATATGATATAAAATAATAAATGACGTTTTAATTAAATCAATCATTATTAATAATAAATTATTTAATTTTAACAAATATAAAAATTTATTTAACTTACAATAAAAATATAAAAATTTAATTAAATATAATAAAAATATAAAAAAATTAAATAATATAAAAAAATTTATATATTATAAAAAAACGTTAAAATCGTTTTCAATCCATGCAAGCGTGGACCTTGCAACATCTTTTGTGTGATACCATTTTGATTGGCATTAATTAATGGTCCATTCCGTGCTATTAATAGTTTATTGCTACTAATGAGGTCGTCACGGTATGTTTCATTTTTTGTTAAAATTCAGAGCAGTATATTCTGTAATAACTCGCACTGCAAATATTCTCGTGGCATTTAATAACTTGCAAACTCAATTTTGAAATATCTAATCCATATGGATTTAATAAATCTATATAATAAAATATTTAAATATTTGACTCAATATTTAATATCTGATTCTTTTGTTTAAAAAGTAAATTTTAAAATTTTCTTCTGAATTAAAAAAAATCCATATTCTATAATTAGTCAGCCCAGTTGTAGTATTTTTGGGCCTCAAGATCTCTGTAAGCTGGCCCTATCCGGGTGGAATGAGCAGTGGGATATTTAATGAGGTTTCTATAGTTGGGCTCTGAATCTTTTGCTTGATATAAAAGGAGTTTGAATGGACCTTCGACTGTGAAGAGGAGCGATGGGGTGAGGGATGACTTATCAAACAAAAAACTGTAGTTTGTTTAAACTTGCTCCAAGCAAGGATCTTTACTTTGCCATCCCATGTCACCCTGAATCTGAACACTTTAACATTGACAAAGCAAAGAAAATAAATTCTCTCATAGGGAAAAATTGAGAAAAAGAGAAGAATTGATGGTGCTATGGAGCAAAAAGTTTTCTGACTTTGCCAATGACTCTTCTGCACACTGGGCATACCTTATTTTCCCCATCAGATATCCTGCAAAACAATATATCCCATACTTAGATTTATAAAGCCATTTACTAATCAAAAGGAAAAAAAAAAGTTAATTGTTTTGACAGGTACCTTTGAGCACAGTCATAGCAGGTAGCACAATGGCCACAAGGAACGAAGAAACAATTCCTTTGCTCATCATAGCAAATTACACAAATCCTTCCATCATATAAATCCTCACCGCTACTGCAACTTCCTGTCTCTACATCTTCTTCACATGTTCCATATGTTAATGGCATCGTCTTTTCCGAGCATAATGGGTTAGTCTCCGATTCAGTTGCTGTTCTCACATCCTGTCCAGCACTCTCATCATCACTGAAGTCCGTCATAAACTTCAAAATCAGCAAAATGACTATCACCATCACCGCTGCAGGAAGTAAGCATCCAATGAATTTGTGCAAGTGGAGAAAAAATTGGGTTATACACAATTCCATGCACTAATCATAAAACTTATATGAGAAAAGAAGAGATTTTCTTTCTTTGTTTCTGGTAACTCACCTAAAACTGCAACGTAAGCCATCAGACGTGCAAAAAAATTAAGGGCGTAACACCATTCAACCACATCATTCTGTATCATCAAATCGAAGTAACATTGGCAATTACGATGAAAAGAGGAATGTAAATTTTCATTGTTTTGTTAGTTGAAGATAACTCAGTGGCAGGAAACTGGAGACCATGGCCTCACCTCACTTGATAAAGTCATGGACTGAGAGTTGTCAAGGTGGAGTTTCAGTTGATTCATTCCATTTAATATCGAGCACATGTTTTGGGATTTGGCTGCTATCTGGCTGTCCTTTTTCTTACTAATATCTGCCGAATGACAATTAGAACTTGGAAGCTTAATAATGACAGATAAAAGTGTTTACTTTAAGCTTAGGACTAGGACTTCAAGGTATTCTTCCCAGTTTTTGAAAGGGGAAAGACTTATGGGTCATCATAGAAAGGTAAAAAACCGTGCTTTAAAGTATTAAATATCTATATTTCAAACTAAAGGTTTATATTCATTATGATTCTTTGAACCTTTAAACAAAGCCACAGGAAATATCTAAAGTTACTCATGTCATTTTCATAGAATTCGAAATGTCTCTTGAGCAGGAAAAATGTGCACGCTTCATTGCTCAATGAATCTGATGAAAGAAAAAAACCAAGTACTCAAAATGGTGCGAGTGCATAGATATTTTCAATGTGCAAAAACATTGGCTCATATATATATATATATATATAATGTCCTAGCTACAACCTGGATTACAATGAAGAATTGAAATTTAAGGAGAAAATGCTCCTGCATTACCTCAAAACACCTTGAAACAGAGCCCAGCTCCAGCTTCTTCAAGATTGATCCAGAACTGGTGCATCTCAAAATACTCTTACAGTTTTACCAGATGATAACAAAAATAATGCAGAAAAGCAAGACGACTCGATTTGAGAGAACAAAATTTTAATGCACAACGGTGAGGAAACTGAAGAAATATACAAATCACCAGCTGCATTTGCTGTTAAAACAGGAGCTGAACCGAAGCCTCAGGTTCACCCTATCTCTTCGAACGGGTAGAAAACTGGAAAGCTGGTGTTTGCATTGCCATCATGGAAGATTAATGGAGACAATGCCTGTAGCATAATGATAGACAGCAAAATTCAAATGAAGGAAGAATGGTAGTTGTCGAAATCCTGCTTGGGGCACAACTAACACCTCTGAGAGCTTAGTAGGTAACTGTGACGCCAAGTCTTTGTGATTTTGAATGGTAGGTTATGACTTGCAGCCAATTGTGAGAGGTCAGACAGCCATAAGCCAACGAAAAGACAAAAAGGTTAGATATTACAGTATATTAATTCAAGTGTTCCAGATCAATTTGAAATAATTGAATAGTATAAGCTGGGGATATGGGGGTCTTAGGCATTTTTTTTTAATAATTTTTTCCCCTTGAAAAACTGAATTTGGCTAGGGTCTCTTGGCAGATGGGTTGACGGTCTGTATTGAGGTTGATCCATGATTTGGTTGAACAGAATTTAAGAGTTTTTTTTATTTTAATTTATTAGTAACATTCAAAATGTTCAAGACTCATCCAAACATATTTATATTTTTTTAGGGTCAATGTTATATTCTAGGGAAAAACTTGATACATACTACAAACAAATATAGTACTTTGTACAAAAATTTTCTCGATTGAATCAAATTATATAATTGCTACTACTATTTTTAATGCAACCAACGACCTGTAAATATCTTTCTGCCTTGACAATTGTACAGGCAATGGAACGTGAAAGCTTTCAACTGCTTCTTGGGTCTAATCTTACATAAATGTTGAGATGACAGATGACGATAAGATTAGGTATGAAGCAACACGAATTATTTTTTTTTGATATGTGACACGAATATTTAAATTCAATAACAAGAGATCAAGAGAGAGTATAGAAAGGTCAACTTTCATGATTGTAACTTGATTAAGACAAGGTCTCCCGGCCTTTTGTTTGCAATTTTAGTGCAAATGAAGTCACCCTGACCAACCTGCCTGCTTGCTGAACATTCCTTGTTTAGGCCCAGTTTGCTCCCTGCCAGAGTGCAAGGTGGATAACATCCATTGAGACTTTACTCAACGTACATTTTATATGTGCCGTAAAATATATATTTATTGTTTAAAAGGGGCCGTCTCAGGATTTGTTACGCCCATAAGGAAGGCCCTGGTCCCTTAATGGTTAGCATTGGGCCAGTATAGACAATCAATCGGTGGAAGCCCACCCATCCTTCATCATCTGATGGATAGTGGTACGACTTGGAGTGAGAAAGCAAAGCTTGTGCATTACCAGTGTTAGAAGTTAAAAATGCAAAATCCCAGGGCTTAGGTCCCAACCCTCCAGCTTCCCACCAAAAGTTGGAAGGTTGCACTTAAATCCTGACTTTCCTTCCAAGTTTTTCACTTTAGACAAAGAATGGAGCAACACTAAAAGCAATTCAACCAAGGCTCTAAGCATGAAATAATGCAGCAATATTTTTGGCAGAGGTACAGTTGGAAAAGCGCACACTTTAGACAAACTTGCCAAAAGGCTAAAAGCAAACGGATCCTCAACATTGTGGGCGCCCCCTAGATTGCACGATACTGCCCTTATTTTCCGCCATACAATGACACTGCCATCCAGTTATTACCGAAGCCAAAGATATGAGAAACAACCCTGGTTTTGTCATCTAATATGTAATAATGCCTCATTTTTCTAATGACTTACGCCAGAAATAAATAAATTTGTGTCACTCCCATCATGCATGTATTGTGGTAACCTTATGTTACGTGGTCCTTTAGCCCCCAAAATGATAATAAATGGGTTCATAGTCTCCAAATCAGGTTAACTACATATATGCAATTTCAATTTTTAGTCTGACAACCCTTTGATATTAAAGAAACAGGTTACAAAAACGAGAAAATGGTCCAAAAATTTGAGTAACGATGGACTAGACTTGGAATAAAGAAGGCGCTGTACGGTCATCCCATTTTCTTTTGCACATGCAAAAGTTCACAGATGGATTACAACGATGGGTTGTAATTAATTTCTTCTTGGATATCATAAATCTCCCTTTTAAACCAAATTTAGAATTTAAACATTAATTAAAAGTTTCTAAACTTAATGGTTAAGATATCTTTTTGGGAACCTGCTGCCTTCTTAATTTGACCAAGGCAAATAAGATGGGGCGCGATTGTGGCCCTAAGGTTAAATAAGGCTTGAAAAGTTAATAGCTTTATAAAAGCATCTTGATTCATATATAAATATCTAATAACCTAAAGTTAATTAGATTAATGTTAGACTAGCAACATTTTTGGATTTGTTCATAACTATAGGCAATAACGTTTTGATCGATAATGTATAGGGAAAACTAGTTTGGTGTATTTTCATTTCAAATATACTAGTTCGGTTGGAACTTAAATGCATAATTGGATCGATCTGAATAAATATACATCAGGAAAAACAGTATTTCCATTTCAAATATACTAGTTCGGTTGGAACTTAAATGCATAATTGGATTGATCTGAACAAATATATATAAGAAAAAATAGTATTTTCATTTCAAATATACTAGTTCGGT